TTTCTATATAAATTTATTGGTGTTTTGTTAAACATAAGTAATCATATAATATCTGTATACAATTGAAATTTTTGATAATATACGAATAAATTGTGAATCTCATATATCTCTATATTTATAATAATGTGAAGAACACTTCTATCATTGTCGGTTCTAGGTTGAAACCTACGAAACACAAGCTTTAGTCATCAAACTTAACAATATACATTTTTTTGTTTTTGGTCACACTTAATATAATAATATACATCAAGGACTAGAATTATTTACCAAAATTGGTTTATGGTCTATCGGCAAGTTCATTAAAATGGTTCAAACTTTTGAAGTGTAAACCTCTCATCCTATCATAATCATTCCGAGACGAAATTAGTCCTCACAAATCTTAAGTTAATCGAACTCAACACACACGAAGAAAAGGAAAAAGTGAAACAACACACGCAACTAACAAGTTCCAATTTTCAAAAAAAAAAAACTAACAAGTTCGTAAGTTTCAAAAGAAAAAAACAAAAAACTAACAAGTTCGAATATATCGAAATGATACATTCTACATCTTGACCAAAAACTCACGGTTAACAATTTCTAATTCATAAGCCTTAAACTTCTCACAATAAATTATAAAAAAAAAAAAACTTCTCACAATATCAAGAATTTTTAAAATGATTATAAGAAAAACAAATGTCTGCTGTATTAAGATTCGTTTGGACTTTGTTGTGTTATTGGGCAGTCGTCTTGATTTGATCTTTTACGAAACAAATTGAACTTCAGATTTTTGTTGATCATCCAAGAATTTTTTGTTTTTTTTGCTAAAAGACTGATCATCCAAGATTATGGAAAAGAAAAGCTTGTTACAAAAAAAAGAGAGAATGTATGTAAAATTATGCAAAAGACAATTCTATTGGTCCCCCCTCCAGAATGTAAGAGAAGAAAGAGTAAGTTTGTAACTGAAAATATATATGTTAATAAATATAATTCAGCATACTTTGTATATAAATTTCATAATAATATACGTAATTAAGTAGGTTTTATCGGCTAAAACAATATCATATACATTTAAATTGTATGTTTCCGATGAAACAAAGTATTTATCAATTTATGTAAATGAATAAATAGACTATATCAAAATAATGTATACTCCTTTAATTAACCCCAACAAAAAAAAACACT